TCTGCTTAATTTGGAGAAAATTACCTCACCAACTGATATTATCATCCTGAACCAACATTTTACTCTAATTTGAATATCCGTAATGTTGTTTATATACAACGCTATATATGCCCTAGGTCAATATTTAAAGATCTTGTGACGAGCACGATCTCTTTAAACGACTAACACAAAATCTAGAAGTTCACATTCCTATCTTCAGTCGATTTGTGATGAGACAAAACTCGTGTTCATTGTTGCCGGATGGTAATTGTCTCACTCGAGATTTTCATGACTACACGTCTAACAGCTCTTAAATAAGAACCTGATAAGTTCATTACTAAGTTCGTCATTAATTAACATATGGTCATTATTTAAATAGATGGTTACCGAGTTTTACTGCAGTTCCCAGGATGATTTCGTCTACGATGAGATATATTGTTGGACTGAAACAGTTTTTACAAAACATTGAATGATTATCTACCATTCATGGCTAGCTTTCATAAAATTGGATGTTCATAAGGAATTAATCAAAACCATTTACTCCTAGGGTGAGTTTAGACAAAAACTATTGAATTACGAATCGATTGAGACTAAATAAACCAGAGTGTTACGTAACTCACAAATAGTGTTTTCATTAAGACGCTTCAAAGTTATTGCTTCAATCTAAAAACGAATCAAAGATCCTTGGGAACGAAGTGTGGAAATGAAATAAAATAACGAAATAATGTTGGTTAACAAAAATCGATTCTATAGATATCTACAGATCTGACTAGAATCTTAGTAATGTAATCTCTTTCATCATGCGGTGAAATTGTGTGAAGTACCATTAAGAACTAAAGAGTATTGGTAAGCTGTCATATGATGAAAAAGGTGTTCTAATTAACTGATTTTTCATGAGCTATATGAGTACGTGTATGTCTCCAAGTCTCCCTATAAGTTTGTGACTTATGAAGTAAAATAATTCACAGGGTACGGATAAGGATCTATGATAGTTAAACCATACCTTAAACTGACTGGAAATATATTTAAAGGAGTACAGACCATAGGTTGAGGATTAGCGTGGTTGGTTGGATGCTGCAGTGTTATAATTTATATTCAGTAAAAGATGGCAAATTACGACACAAAAGAGTTCCGAAATAAAATGAAACAGCTTTGTTCCTGCGTCTTCATCAGTTCAACGGTTTTTCCAATCAACTTTCGTTCATCATTAAAACTACGTTTAAACAACGGAAGAAGCCCATCATGTAATTAAAGAAGAAATAAAGATAAATCAACTATTAAAAATTTCTTCAAAATTATATAATTTACTGAAGCTGTACAGAAATGTTTATAATTGATTGACGGATAAAAAAAACTTATTAAGAAATAGATTACATCACTGAGTGTTGGAAAATTTCACAGGATATCACAAGACTGTTAGGAAATGGTCCAAAGATTTAAGAAAAGTAGTAACATGACAACAGTTTATCGGTCAGCATTATAAGAGATAAGTCTTAACAGATATGTCGAAGAAATGAAAAACTTAGTTGCAGTAACAGTTGAATAGTAATTATGAACAACTTGATATTGCTAGTGCTATGGCAGAATGAGAGATTACATCCTCTGTCTCTGGAAGCAGAGTTCAGACTTTAACGTACAAATGGATAAAAACACTAAAGTGTAAAACTTCTGATTCGTGTTCCCTTTGAGTTCACTAGTTTGACCATGTAGATAGTTTTGAAAAATAATACTGGTGGACCAAATTGATCAGAATTGATGAAATGTTCCAAAAGGGAATTGTTGATTATTTATCCTTCTCTCTTTGACAGTCCATTAGGGTAATGTACTGATATGCATTTAGAAAACGTTTTGTTTGTGTAATCGAAATCGGATTTATTTTAGCTACTGTAAAACAACGTAATAACGGTTCGTTAAACAAGATAATCCATAAAAACGTAAGGAAATCGAAATTTTATGCACTGCTTTAAATCTCGATGTAAAACAATCATCAAAAGAGTACCCATATAAAGATACTTTGTTGAGTATCACTAAAGCAGTTATAAATAAGCTTCACCAATAAAGTATTTAATTTCTTGAAATATAAGTAGTATATAAGCAACATTATTGTTTATCTACTGATCATATCACATTCATCATCTACAAATGATAAGACAGTCCATTAAAACAGAATAATTACTCTTAAACAATCAATAGAAATAGTTAACTAAAACAGACGGGTATTTTTAAATTTCTAATTCCGGTACAATTCAACAATAGTAGTAATTCATAGTTTAAATAATAATCATAAATATGATCTTTGTTGTTATTCGAAAAATCTTCAAAGCGCAAATAATTAATTTCTTTTTAGAAATTAAACAAATAATCGATAACAATGAAAATTTCATCCCTCTTTTTATTCTAAAATATTCGATCTTAACTAAATTCCATCTATAAAGAGATATTGTACTGAACTTTTCACTGGGACATTTATGTTTTATCAATACACATTCCATTTTAAATTAACCACTGTAAATTTTTACTAGACTTAAACAATTTACGAAATAATTAAGTATTAGATTATAATCAGAGAGGAGTTTTGTGGAGATTGTAGTAACTTGATGATTGGATTCATGAGTTAATTGAAGCTAAACCACCATGGAAAACCTGAAAGTATTGGATGGCCTTTTTGTCCTACTATGGGATTCCTCAGCAGTGCGCATCCACGGTTTCTCCCGCGGGATTCGAACCCAGGGCCTTCGGTCTTGCGTGTGAACGCTCAACCTCTAAACTACTGAGCCGGCATACAACGGTGTTAATGTCTAACTTCAACCAATCCACGAAATCGCTCCACCGTTCTCGATTGTCTTAAGTGAGTTACTATCTCACAACAGATTATAATAGAATCAAAATATACAAATTGAAATTCATTTTAGATAGTTTAACAGTGAAAATTTTATGTTTTAATGTATACATTAATGGTTGAAACGGAGGTCAGTACAACAAAATTTTGTTTATGTATTAATACCTGCAAAAATGGGATGATTGTGTGTAGTGAAAAAATTTATTATTCATGTTTATGTAAATCTATGAAAAGTATCTAATAAACATTCGAAGTAATTAGTTCATTTTATAAGTTTTGGTAGAGCAACGAGAAAGGGGAGTTGACTTGGAAAATTTGATGTTTCTGTTCTATGTACATAGCACTAACAAAATAAATACTTGTTGAACTTAGAAGAATCAGGGATTGTAAACGTTTTGAAAAGTGTCATTTCAAACTATTACATCTGTATTTTCTGTTGATTCTATTTGAAGAGGTTTCTTACAATTGATTGATCACTGGGTGGTGATCAACGTCATGTGTGTCGAATGCTATCGACCAAGTTGCAATGTGGCCAGCAGTCTAGGTGACTGCCTCCAACCATCATCTAATCTCAACATAGTGCCCGCAGTGTCGAGTCACCTAGACTGGTGGCCACATTGCAACATGATCGATAGCATTGGATCTGCACTAATAAGGACTAGACAAGCATGACATTGATCACCACCCAGTGATCAATCAATTGTGATTACATCTCAGTCCAACTGGAGTTTGGTCACATCTAAGAAAGATCAGTGGTAACGTCTCTGTATGTAAAGCTGGGTGACACGAGATCGAATCCGCCAGCGACCAACAGTTCCCTCAAGATTACACGTACACCTTGCTGACGAGTGCCAAGTAGCACGAAACCCGTGTCCAGGGATTCCTGTTGACTACCTCCAACCACCAAATGAAGAGGTTTCTTATCTAACACTTCTATTCAAACAATTGACCGGTGAAAAACCCCAGTTAAATGGTAAACCTTTGATGATAGGTTCAATAAATCAGTATGTCATATAAAAATTATTCGAATAAACGAAATACCATCTGTTTTACTATAGTTATGACATAATTCTCTAACCGTGACTAATTATTTTAAGACCTGAGATTCCTGTGTTCGATCTCAAAAAATCAATAAGGCAATAGACTATTTGAAGGTTTTTTCTTGTTATAAAATAGCTATCCAGTGATTTGTTTTTTCTTGAATTATTGTAGCTAATTTCTTTAGATGATGATGTTTACTTTTAGACGTATCCATACATAATAGGTTGTTTGGCGATTAACTAACTCATCTGATACCTTTAACACTAACTATTCATAACTAACTATGCTAAATACAAGTAAACTATATTTTTGTCTCGATCATGTTCCTTCTAAAAAATGTTTACTGAAATTGACCTAAATGTAAACATCTTAGTGACATACTAACAGACTGTCGGTTAGTCACCCAGAGGTACATGTAGTGAAAAAAAATCAATAATGACAGCACAACTACTGCACTTTAACTATAAACAAAGTTGAATGGTTTAAATAACTAGACAGGTAATCAATAAACATAGGTCATCTCTAATATATGCTGTAGTGAACAGAACACGAGTGGGGACAATCGAGTGTATTTGACACAAAATTACAGGACTTGTTAATAAAATCTAACAAACAGTAAATACACAATTTACAAAATGTCAATCAATTGCCTCAAAATGACCCAGACTTCATTGTTCTTGTATTTTCATGCAGATTTCATTATGTTTCCATTCTTTACTGCTCGATCCTCTTGTCTCTCTGCTGCCAGACATTCTGTTTACAACTAGCATCATCTACTACTTATGTCAATATAAGTAGCACACACCACTATGCTATTGAAAATCAGAACAAGTGATTTTACGCTTCTGTATTAAAAACAGACAACGACATATTCGACTAAGTATACAGAAAAAAAAATTTCGGTCAACAAAGCAACAGCTAATCATTGTTTTAAGAAAAACACAAGAACTAGGTTAGGTTTAAATAAAAACAATGACATTTTCATAGAACAAGTACTAACTATTTGGCTTTGGTTGCGAGGCTTATTTAATTCATCGACATTGTGGATGCAAATGGCGAGGCTACCAATCATGTTCACTTTGGTTTCACTTAACTGTCACAATATCATAAAATGACTCAAACTCATCTTATTTACTGTAAAGGATTTGTTTATTAATCAAAGACAACATTGATGACTATAATTTTATACTATGCAGTTGTGCAATATTTTAATTCATACTCCCCATTCTCCTATCTACCACAACTCTTGTCATTACAACATCCCAATCAATCTGTCTTTTGCTGTTGTCACTACGAATGTAATAGCTTGAATTTCTTACTCGTATTAAAGTTAGTGATTCTCAGTTACATATTCGCTTTCGAGAATACCCATCTTCATATTCTATGATTAATCAACACTTGAACAATTTTCACAAACTCTCTATTGGTTTATGATTGAATGGAATTTAAGTTTTGTATAAAATCGATAAATACATTGTTGAAAATATGTATTGTTTAGGGTAATTGTTTTTATCATGGAAGCAACCGAATAGAATTCACAAACTAAATGAATCCATCCATGTTAGTTTAACATTGTTCCTATTCTATTTCTCTCTGTACATATCGATCTGAAGAAGAATTGAATGGGATTGAAAAGTCAATAAGTTGTAAATCAGTCATCTTCAAACAATGTTAATATTTAAATGGTGTATAAAAAAATTATTTTTTAAAAACACTCACGTATGGACATAAATAACTCTATTTGCATAAACATTTTCGCTTCATAAATAAAAAGGATTTAGGCCGAATTTTGATAGGAAAATCTAGGAGAAATGTTTCACAAAATATGTTCCCATCAGTGATATCGATATATATATGTATATATATGTTGATTGTGTGTATAGTGAAAAGAGACAGTTGCATATTAATGCATGCATTTAATAAAACTATAATCATGATGTTTACTTTAGCTGTTTGTTTTCTATTTGTAATTTATTAACGAGGAATATTAAACACCAGTGTATACTTGAGAATGTGAGTATACTGAATCAAAAAAGGTGAACGGAATTTCTTGTCGACTTCCGCCAACCACCGTCTATTAATGATATTTACCCGAAGGTTATATCTGATCTTAGTATAATTTCAAGAAATGTCAGTTATGTCGTTAGGATAGACAAAACTGTTCACATAATATTTCATTCAAAATGATATAGGTTCAATTAAATTTATGCCTCATTGTGTTTTTGGTAGACAGCTTTGGAAAATATATTTTCATGAATGGAATCATTCAACGCTGACATAAATACAACCTTTTAGTAAAGTGAAACAGTGTATTATTACTTATATTAATGGACTTATACATCTACGGACGTGAATTCGACAGGAGAAATATCATAATTCTGTATAAATGGTGGTAAATATCAGTATAGAGCTTTAAGGAGATAACAAACTTTCCAGTTTTAAATCACGAACTGGTCTTAGCTAGACAATTGAAAACCTGGTAAAACTAAATAGTTTTTTCGTCCTAGTACAGAAAACTTCGGCACTGGTCGTCTTTAACCCTGCCACAGGGAGTTGAGCGCAAAACCATAGGTCTTGAGTGAAAATGTTTAACCTATAAACCACTAAGCTGGAATTCGGTGGTGTTGATTTTCAATTCTAATCAATTTACGATATCGTGCGAACACCTCTCATCGTCTGCAGAGTTCTAATGAGAAGACGTTATAAGTGAAATTCAACCATGTCAAGTAAAAGACAGTTATCCACCACAGATTGACTGTGAATATTCAATACACTGAATCAAAGATTTAAATCAACTGAATAACAAACGGTTATTATCTTCAAAAGAACTGGATTTTAGTTAATTAACTATAGTTAGATAAACATGATATTCATTTTTTTACATAAATAATTATCCACATTATTCGTTTCCATGTTATGATTTGAAGGTCAAATTGACAGATTTTACAGAATTATATTCGCCAGTAATAATTTCAAGATTCATTAAATCAAAACCTGTTCTCGTTATAGTGAAAGTATATCTAACGGAGGAAACAAGATTATTATTATTATCATCGTTTTCCGTCAGAGTGACATTTAATCTATGTAAAAAAGCAAGACTAATTATAAATAAAAGCATATCGGATAAAGTATAACTTCAGTATTTTATATAAGTAGCTGGTTATGATTTACTGAACGAAATATTTCAATCGATATTGGTATATGAAAATTTTGTGGTAAGTTCTTCGATTGCCTTGTGATCAAGTTACATTCATTTGAAAGTTTAGATGCTTGATATTAACTTCAAATCTCAACAGAAATAAAAACATTTTAGATCCAATATCTGATTAATGAACATATAACAGTTAACAGCCTAAATATTAGGTAAGTTTAATACTGTCACTAAATTTATTCATCTTATTCATAGTTATAAATAATAAATAAGTTACTTCACATACCGTTAGGTGGTACATTATTCCAAAATATCATAAAACTTGAACAATGGGGTTAAATATTTATGTTAACTGAAGCAATATCTATTCGGTTTGAATCGCTTAAGTTAAACTTTTAATTAAGACAGTTTATGCTGTAACACATCGGTTATTTTAGTACTTTTTTTTAACTTTCTATTGTAAAGAGAAAAAAACAAACAAAATATATTTGTAAATATTTCGTAATCAGCTTTTTATTATAACATTTCGAAAGAAAATGGGTTCCATAGGAATATATTACACATTTATAAAATGTTGTTTAATTATAGCAAAATATATCTTACATGGTAAATGTTTTATATTTTGATTTAAAGAGTAAATATTATCAAGGTTTTTTTTTCTTGAAAAAATTATTTTGGTGGAACAATTACCACTGGTATATGAGCATGATGTAACACATAATCAGAAACACTTCCAAGAAAAGTACGTCGAAGTACACCAAGACCTCTACTTCCCATTATAATCAAATTTGCATTATGATCTTCTATTGATTTTAATATAGCTGCACCAGGTCGATTGTCTACGTGAAGAAATGCTTGACAGTTTATATCATATTTTTTTGCTTCAGATATATATTTTTTTCCCAATAACTTGCCTTTATCAATGCTATCTTGCATTATTTTAGTAATATCGGTTAATGGTGGAGTTTCCATTGTTAATCCAACTGCAGGTGTATTATAAACTGGCTCAACAATATTAACAAACTTCACAATATCATTTGAACTTTTCATATTATTCAAATACCAATGAAACGCTCGTTCAGCATGTTCACTTCCATCAATTGGTAAAAGAACCACTCTTTGTTTTGTTGTGGATTCACTCATTCTATGAAAATGTCTAGTGAATTTAGTGTAGCATTTTATATATTAGGGATGTTTATTTAAGAAATCATATTGGTCAAAACTTAGTATTCTGATTGGCTCATTGTTTAACCTTGACATAGTCCAATAGCTTTGTGAGATTGCCTAGACTGTCCTAAATTAAATGACAGACATGCATCATTGAACTGAAGATAATTAGTAAATTTGGGACGATGTCTCAAATATTTACATAGAAATGGATAGAAGAACGATATCTGCAAGATAGTAACTACTGTGTATATCAAACAATTCTATTTTATTTTACTATTTTTAATGCAGCACCAAGTTAGTTAATAGAAATGAGGCTAGATAGTGCATCAAAGTTATGATTAATAATCGAGGTTAATAGAGGAGGCGAGAGAACCAACTACTTATGGTAAAACGTGACTCAATATTTATAGTCAGACAAAATGTAAGCTACAGACATGTGATGGGCAGGATAAACAACGTATACACATACACACATAAAAACAGTCAAGGTTAATGAGTACATAATTGTCAAGGTCAAAACGTGACTCACGAAGAATGAATAAAGTGATCTGCAAGAGAGCTAGAATAACCCATATGTGTTTGAAATAGTACTAGACACTACAGATTAAAGTGGATAAATTATTAAATAAGCGATAATCTATAGCACTGGGAAACAACTGGAAAGGAGACCCCAGGACGGAGTTGGCTGGAGAATCCTGGTCAGTGGCCTATGCTTTGCGAAAAGCAACAGGCGTAAGTCATTCTATACGACAAAAATCAGTTCACCATAGAATAAATCAGTTAAGAATTATGAGCAATATTTCCTTGCATTTTAGGTTTGGTAAATAAAATTTAGTTTTCTACAAATTATCTTGCTAAGTGTTTTAGTTCGTATAAAGGAAAAACTCTCCTTTATGTCAATAGAGAATTGTGTCTACATATTAGGATGTGTTGATTGTGATGCGTTCTATATTGGTTAGTCATCTCATGAAATCTTGACTCGAGCCAAAGCGCATATTAAGTACACAAATAAACCGCCCAATAATCGTGTAGAGCTAAAAAAAAACTCCAAAATAAATTGACAATATCAGTCCAAGCCATTTTGAAGTACCATCAAGTTGATATTAAGAATATCAAAATAATACCCAAAGCCTTTTCCAACTAGAAAGAAAAGAGAGCAGCTGAAGCTTCCCATATATTGATTAATCCTTCTGCCCACAGTACAAAAGAAGGCCTCACTATCCATCCGATTTGAACCATCCATCCAAACTACCCTGTCTGATTCTATTCCCATTTCACACCATTATCACAAACATAGATTCAACTCTATCTTTTCGCACCAAAAATATCAGATTTTTTCACCCTTTAACATATATATACATACAAATACACAAAAACGCTTCACATAAATCACATTGACCGGAATGATATGACATTGACTTGGTCAGACCAGTTTTTTTACTGATCACACCAAATATTCTTGCTTTGTTCCCTTTTACTATTTAAACTGGGGCTAATTTAATTTGGTTATTTTTTCTTTCAGGAAGTGGCTTACACAGAGTCAGGAAACATTAAAAGATTTGAGAATTTAATTTTTCTATTCGTCGCGATATTACAACTATATTTTTTTATTAATAACAATCTACCCAATGCTCAATTTATTTGAAATTATCACCTCAAACCTTGAGAATGGTATATATATATACCACTAAACATCTTGATAATAAATTCGTTGAAGAGATCCCTTTACTGAACTTCGTGTTTTCAATGCCGTTTATTTCTCTTTAAATGATTTAGTTAATGACTTAAACGAGTGTACACCATCAAACAAGTATGTAATATTTAGAATAACTGATAAAAGTAGAAAAAATGGTGTCATATTTTGAAATCTATAATATTAAATAACTACTTAATGTTTGATTGATTGAATGAACCAGTACAATAGATCAACATATATGTATAAATGAATATTACTCACTTTCTTAAATGAATTTCAATATTAATTTCCGTTTTAGAGTGAAATTTCATGCTTCACTTAGCTACAACCGTTTTTGGCAAAAAATTGATCATCCGTGTATATTTTTCAATAAAATCTAATATATTCGCGTTCAACTTCGACCAACTAAATAACAAGGACGTTTTTCTTATATATATATGATCGAAATCATGAGTCAATTGAAGCTAGACCACCATTGAAAACCTGGAAGCACTGGACGGCCGTTTCGTCCTAATATAGGACTCCTCAGCAGTGCGCATCCACGATCCCGCACCCCACGAGATTCGAACTCAGAACCTATCAGTCTCGCACCAGGCGCTTAATCAACTAGACCATTGAGCCTGCATCCAACGGTGTTAATGTCTGATTTCAAACAATCCACGAAGTTACGCCACCGTACATCATTGTCTTCAGTGAGTTGATTTCTCACAACAGACCTGGTTGAACTCCACTGGCAACGGCTTCTCACTCGAACTCCAGAAGTATCTTTTGAAGTCAGTCACTAGTGAGTAGATGATTATTATCAGAAGGGGTTTTGTGGAGATTTTAGAAATTTCACTAATTGAAATCATGGGTCAATGAGTCGAATCTCGCGGTGTGCGGGATCATGAATACGCACTGCTGAGGAGTCCCATACTAGAACGAAACGGCCATCCAGTGCTTCCAGGATTTCTCTGGTGGCTTAGCTTCAATTGACTCATGATTTCAATCAGTGAAACTTCTAAAATCTCCACAAAACCCCTTCTTATATATTTAATGCCACCGGTTGTTAACTGCTCTGTTATCAATACGGTTAATTCTATGTGACTCAATTTCTCACCAATACTACAAAAAAATCCATTTAGAAACGAATCTTTAGTAAATGTGCTATAAATATTTAAGACGACAGTGGAATACTTGTCCATATGAGAGATGGTCTTCATAATCTTATTAAAAATCACATACTCATTAGTAACAAACTAGCTTCAAGATAAATTCCCTTAAGTTCATATAGGATGCCATGAACTACGGAATCAATTATATTATAAGTGAGGCAGTGAGTTTTCAATAGGATTTAATTATAGCGACACTGTTTTGTAAGTTGTCTAATGTTAGTAGTGTGGACAATTGAATTCTGAGTTTGTGGTACAATACTATCTTCACCTAGTAAATATTTTAAGTCATGAGTTCGATCCTGTAGATGGACACTATTGAGAAATAGCAAACCAATCAGGATAAAACTGTTTTTCAATAGTTTGCCAGTACATACCATCTGGATAAAAGATCTATTTAAGTATCTTATCACACTCCAACTATATAATTTGTTGTTGTAAATGTAACTTACTTCAAAATAGTTTCTACTAATTCTTACTTGAACAGAACATCCTAGTATTTAATAATTGTCTGACTAACATCCGCCAGTGGTGTAAGCCATTAAACTGTTTTGAAGTTATAAAAGAAAATAGCGTACATTTAATTGTTTAATTACTCTGTGTAACATTTCAACCAGTAATATCATTATGAAAAATAAGGAACCATGAACTGTTACTATGGTATGTGCTACTGAAGTTGACAGGTATAAGTGGTATGTACCACCAATCGAAAGTAAAATGCCCGGAGGCAGAAGGTTAAGAAGATCGAAGAAAATAGAACGAGAAGAGAGAATAATTGGTGTGGAGACGAAGGAACAATGAAGTCTGAGATGATTGATTGACATTTTGCAAGTGAAGTATTTACTGTATGATTCTAATTTTACTATGGCGTTCTGCAATTTTTTTATTCGAATACATCCGATTGTCCACATTTGTGTTCTCGTTCACTACATTACAAATTGGCTCCATATACATATAATGTCCTATTGAATGAGCAATTTTGACTGTTATGCACGTAGTTCAACTTAAAAATTGTTACCAGTTGGTTTTTGTATACGACAATAAACAAACTGACATTTAAATGTTGACAAAGGGCATGAGATACATTATTTACATAATATCTAAACTTGTAATTTGTTTAGTCTTGATAAATATAATAATTAGCCAGAAAATTTCATTGCAAAATGGGACACGGCTTGGACCTTAAAACTTAATAGTTTCATGGTCAATCTGATAGTATTGAGTTAATGGTTCACAATAAAAATGGTATGTGTTTTTAAGTTTAGCTAATTTTCAATATGTTTTAAATATGAAGTTTACTTATGTGTTAATTTTGTATATAAATACATCTCTAAACGTAAAGGATACCCTCAGGTTACTATTATTTGATCTTCGAAGTAGTTTTCGTGTATGTTCTGATCCGTGAATGACCAATATAGGGGTTGGATGTAGAGTAACAGGCAAAGATGACAGATGATGAGGTAGTAAATATTCTTCCACAGGTTGAAATCATGAGTCAATTGAAGCTAGACCACCATCGAAAACCTGGAAGCACTGGGTGGCCGTTTCGTCCTAGTATGGGACTCCTCAGCAGTGCGCATCCACGATCCTGCACCACGCGGGATTCGAATCCAGGACCTACTGGCTACGCGCGCGAGCACTTTACCACTAGATCACTGAGCCGGCACCCAGAAACTCACTGAAGACAATGGTGTACGGTGGCGCAACTTTGTGGATCGGTTGAAGTTAGACGTTAGCACTGTTGGATGCCGGCTCAGTGGTCCAGTGGTTAATTTCTCACGCGCGAAGCCAGTAGGTCCTGGGTTTGAATTTCGCGTGGTGCGGGATCGTGGGTGCGAACTGCTGAGGAGTCCCATACTAGGACGAAACGGCTGTCCAGTGCTTCCAGGTTTTCCATGGTGGTCTAGCTTCAATTGACTCATGATTTCAACCTGTGAAATTCCTAAAACTCTCCACAAAACCCATTCTGAAAATATTCTTCCATTGATGTGGTTGAGACATATGCTACTTATGGCCAACCACTGCCTGTCTCGATGCAAAATCTCGACAATAATAACAATGGATATTAAAGAACATAGGTAGGTGGACGAACTAAATCTAGCATCAGGTCATAAAATGACTGACTG